GACCGGCCCACAAACTACTGACTCGGCCCTGAGCTTCTGAGTCCAGGTCTGCTCGGCGGTCGACAGACTCCTCCGAGGTCACATCTGGCCGTGCTGTCCCTGCTTTTGTAAATAAGGTTTTCTTGGCACCCAGCTGCACTTGCCCACACGGCAGCTGCAACAGAGACCACGCGGCAGCAGTCCAGCATGCTGAGACGTTGGCCGGCCCGCCTGAGGTGTCGTCTGCAGTGAGAGGACAAGCCTCCAGCCTCTGCCCTCGTCCCACGGGGCTAGCAGCGGGGACCAAACGGCCACAGCTGTGCCAAACGCGGGACAGGCCTCCCCGGGTCATTATGAAGGGGAGCTATGGGAGAACAGCACCCACAGACCTGCTCAGTTCAGGGGTGAGAATCTCAAAGCGCTAGCGTGTTGGGGGCTGGGGGGGGCGGTTACAGGCTACTTCTCACCCACGGGGCGTCGCGAGGCTCGACTCTCAACCGACAGGTGGAGCCTTTTTCCACCAAGAAGAGTCACAGGCGGGGGCTTCCCTGGTGGCACAGTGGTTGGGAGTCCGCCTGCCGATGCAGTGGACGCACGGGTTCGTGCCCCGGTCCGGGAAGATCCCACATGCCGCGGAGCGGCTGGGCCCCCGAGCCCTGGCCGCTGAGCCTGCGCGTCCGGAGCCTGTGCTCTGCAACGGGAGCGGCCACAGCAGGGAGACCCACATGCTGCGGAGCGGCTGGGCCCGTGAGCCATGGCCGCTGAGCCTGCGCGTCCGGAGCCTGTGCTCCGCAACGGGAGAGGCCACAGCAGTGAGAGGCCCGCGTACCGCAAAACAACAACAACAAAAAGTCACAGGCGGTCTCCTCGCTCTGCCTCCCCACACACAAGTCCGCCTGCTCGCTGGTCTTTGTTCACAGGAAGGTGCCAGGAGCTAGTGTAGACCACCCCCCACTTCCACGTGTGTCCACAGACGAAGGCATCGTCCCTGGCTTTGCACAAAATGCATGACTTTCACATTCCATTGACCTGTCTCCTGCCTTCAAACAGAAGGTGCCTCCTATGGAGGGGTGGGACTCAAGAGCCCGCAGCCCCATTCAGCGTGTCTGTCGTCCATTCATGTGTCCGCGAGCTCCCGTGTGGAGGGCCCCTGCGGGCACTGAGGGTCCGAGCACGGCTTCCGTCTCGGCCGAGCTCCCGGGCCGCCGGCCAGTGGTGGCCATGGCCGGGCCACAGCTGCAGGGCCTGGGTGTGCAGCCGCGCCCGTACCGTGGTCCACATGGTGGGCCTGGGAGGGGCAGGGCCGGGCGAGAGGAGCGGGGAGGCGGGGAGGGTCCTGAGCGTCCTCATCCACAAGCCATGAGCCTCTGCAGCGGGGCCTGAAGGAGACATGGGGCCCCACAGGAGGCCTCGCCTGCTTCCAGCGCAGGCCCACCTCCTAGCAGCCGCAGCCTCTCCCTGTGCCGTTCCACGCACTCCCTGCCCCGAGCGGTGTCCTTGTCGCCTGGTGGGCCGGCTGGTCCCAGGGGCTGGGGTCCAACAAGAGCCCTCCTGCATCTGCCCGGGCTGCTCCTTTAGCCAAGAGCTCGCCAAATGAGAGGGAGGACGGAGGGGCCCGCCCCTCAGCCGCCGGCGATGGCCCGGTGCCCAGCGGTCCCTGCCCTTAACATCGCAGCTGAAGAGACACGGTCGGCAGCTGATGTGGTGGACGAGAAGCCCGGGCCGGGCGGCCAATGTTATCCCTGCAGCCAGCGAGTCGGGACAGCACTGCCCATGTCTGCAGGGAAAGTTCTTCTTGTGCAACGTCCTCAAGGATGAGACGGTTTAGTTGTCTCGTGCTCACTTGGTACTTTTTTTAAAATTTTGCTCCGGACAAGCACAGAATTACCTTTGTAACTTTCTGAAAATGCTCAACACAAGCCCAGGCTCCCCACGGGCAGTGCGCGCAGGAGCCTGGAGGTGGGCTGACAGCGGGCAGCTCGGCGCGTCGGTGCCCGCACTCCCCGCTTAGAGCCTGTCCCGGGCTGACACAAGAGGAGGTGGCGAGAGGGGCTGCATGCCACCCCACACACAGGCAGATGCGTTGAAAGACGCCCGGAAGCTTCCAGGAGGGCTCTTCCAATTCACTCCTCAGACGCTAGAGAAATGCTCCCTTTTGATGTTCTCGCTGCTGAATTTCAAACACTCCCCTTCTCACTGATTTTAAAGCACATCTTTCTGATCTCAAGGGCTTCTGTTGGCTCATTTGAAGCTGGCCTGTAAGCCGTGGTCTCTCTGAAGCTGAGAAACACCGAGTCTGGTGAGAGCCTGCCGTTGGCTGGACGAGGCCAGAGCCTGCTGGGTGCAGGTCCCACCCACAGCCGTCCATGGACGGCGGGCACAGAGACACCGGTTTCGGCTTCCGTGGGTCACCTCTGCTCTCCGAGGTTGCCAGCCTCTGCGTTGAGCAGTTAAAGCTTACAGACAACACGGAGCCTCCAGGGAAATGGTGCCGTGGGCTGTTCCCAAACACCTGGGCTCCCCCTGGGTGCCCTGGACCCCACTCTACCTCCATCCCCACTGAGCAGAGCCAGGCTGGAGGACTTGCTTTGGCCGCTGAACATCTCCACGTGGGAGCCTGTAGGGGCCAGTGCACTGGCGGCCACATCCCACCTCTGCCACGGCGGTGGGTACACTACCGCCCAAGGCTGGGCCATCGTCCCTGCACAAGGCCGGGTGCTCAGAATTTTAGCGTCCCTGGGTCACGTGGTCTCTTCACAACCACCAGCCCCGCTGTTGTGGCCTGAGAACAGCTGGGCAGACGACATGCAAGTCAGCATGTGTGGCTCTGCCCCAGCAAGGCTTCTATCCACTGAACAGGTGGCAGGCAGGCTCGGCCCGCGCAGCTGCAGGTGTCAGGGTGAGGGCGCAGTGCCCCCCGCCTGTGGCGGACACGCGATGTACGCGAGAAGCAGGCCTGGAGGATTGGGGCTGCCTGTTCCGGGGCATAACCGGCCACGCTGCGCAGCCCAGGAGCTCCTTGCACCCCCTGGGGCTTCCCAGGCAGCGGGGGAGGGGGCGACCTGGGTCACCTGATGACAGGTCGCTCTGAGCTGTGGGTAATCACCTCCTTTGACCCCAGACCTCAGCAAGCAGACATCTGGACCCTGAGTGGTGGAGCTGGCCTAGACAGCCTCTTTCCCCGTCCCTCCAGCTAACCCTCCCTCCCCAGCAGCAAGGTGGCTGCGGTGCTCCGCTGCTCATGAGGACCTCAGCCGAGCCTGGACTTCTCTGCACGGCAGGGAGGAATGATTCATCAGGGTCGAGTGGGAGCACGGCGGGCATCGGAGGCCCAGACCGACCTCGCTCCCCTGGGAGCCCCGCTGCCTGTGGTGGACACGCGGCGTGCGGGAGCGAGCTGGCCGCCTCACAGCTGCGCCCTCTCGACAGCCGGCGGTGTGGGCCCTGAGCCCGTGGGAGCCATCACGGGGAGGCGTCAAGTGGCATCCCTGGAGCCACGGTGTTTCATGCTCAGACCATTCAGAATGCAGCGCGGCTGACTCGGGTCCCACGGCCACCCGAGCAGAGACGGCCGGGTGGGGGTCAGGAGACAGGACACGGCACACGGGGTGGACAACACCCCGTCCCTGCCCAGGACCTCCGAATCCAGGGGTCGGGGAGAGAAGGCCATGAATACAAGCAACAAAGGCAACACAGTCCACTACGGATGCGGGGGGTGGGGGTGGGGGGGGGGGGCCTCATAAAAGTACCAGTTAACTATAAAGCTGTTTCCAAACTCCCTTCCCCTGAGTCCACTTGACTGGAGCCCTGGTGTGTAAATGGCAGTTGGAAAAGGGCGGGGGGGGGGGGGGGGGGGAAGCCCTGAGGGCCAGGGATTAGGTGGGCGGGTGCGAGAGGGCCGCGGGCCTTTCATGTGTGCGGTGGGCGCATGTCTCTGCTGCGAGGGGGAGGGGGAAGGGGCGGGGAAGGGCAGGAAAAGCCGCTGGGGGAGGGGGAGCCAGGCCAGCACGGGCGCACAGGGGCAGGGTCGCTGCGGACGGCGCAGGGGAGACCGGTGGAGATGCTGGAAAGACGGCAGGGTGGTGGCCGAAGTCTGAAGGGCTCCTCAGGCCACGCTAAGGTGCTCAGAACTCCTGGGAGGCAACGGGCACCTCCAGGACACCCAGGTGAAGGTCAGCGTTACCGCAGGGCCCGAGGGGCCACCAGAGGCAGGCAGCTGGAGTCTGAGGATGCAGACCCAGGAGGTGGCGCCGGAGGTGGGGGTAGAGGGGGCGGGGTTGGCCTCTGGGTCCCACCCATGACCACCGACCTAGGCTGGCACCTGCCGTTCGCAGCCCTGGTGGCTGGCCCTCAACTCACAGGCGCTCAGCACCACCCCTCCTGTCTCCCGACAGCTGAATTAAACGGGGCCACAGCCAGGTTGCAAACTGCTCCCCTTGACCTCTCACCCTTTCTGACGACGCTCACTAAAGTCCTGAGCCTGGTCACAACTTTCACTTCAAGTGTAACTGCGGGAAAATGGGTCCCAGGGCCCGGTCATCTCATTCCTGGCTCCGACACCTCGTCTCGCAGCAACAGCCTGGCTCCAGGGCTGCCTGGTCTGGCTGGCTGAGAGCAAGGTGCCCCCTTTGCTTCCCTGGTGGACGGAACCAGTGCCCTGTCCCACAGAGGAGGGCTTTGTACACACGTGGTCACTTCTGGTTCTGTCCACAGGGAGCACGTCAGCCAGTGTCACGAGATGCTGAAGACACAGCAGCGCTAACCCAGACTTTCTCCCGAGTCAGAGGGCTGGGACGGGACCTTGAGAGGCTGAGTCACGGGCACTTGAGAAGCACCTCACATCCCCCTCGGCTGTCTGAATGCTGGTTGGGACCAAGACACACCTCCCACCAGGGCGTCGGAGGCCCTTGGGGGGGAAACCCCAAAAGGCACTGTTGCCTGGCTTCCCTCACACCCACCCGGGGACCAGGGACGGGGAGCAAGTGGAGCCGAGAAGGAAGCCCCGGCCCCAGCAGCGTTACCTGGGTGGGGGCGCTGCGGGACAGGTGCGCCAGGTCCCCGATCCTGGCCGCGGCCCGTGGGTCGCTGGAGCTGATCAGCACGGGGGCGCTGATCTCCATGGAGCGCCTGTGGCTGGTGGCCTGTGTGGACCTGTGCGTCACGCTGAGCGCCGTGAAGGAGTGCCGCTTCTTGGCATTCTTCTTACTGTCCACACGCCGCTGGAAGGCGCTGACCGCCCCCGTGCTGCCTGAAGTGGGACCCGGGGCCGCGCTGGCCCCCGCACCGGGGTCAGAGGGCACGAAGGCGAGGCAGCCGGACGCTGAGGCCGGGCCCAGCCTGTCCATCTCCATCAGCTGCTTGGCGGCATCATTGAGCTAAGGAGAGAGGGGAGAGGCAGGCGTCAGTGGACAGGAGCCGCACCCCACGTCCAGGCTTCTGCTCGCGCCTCAAAGCCACCAGAGCGTTCAAGCTGCCAGACCCTTCCAACAGCACGTCCAGTACGAATGGTGCGGAGAAAACGCAGCAAAGGCCAGGGTGGCATCTGGACATTCTACTGAAAAGATGTGTTTCCAGGGGCTGCTCCCTTCTCCCCACTTTGGCCGAGCGGGGCTGCCTGGGAAACACCCAGAGGGGGTGCCTAGGGTGGGAGCAGCCCCCACGTGCTCCCCACCTCGTGCACCAGCAGGACGCAGCTTCCCCAGCACGCGGCCACCCTAGGCTGACCAGACTCCTGGTGGAGAGGCCTCAGGCTGCCGGCAGAGCCCTGCTTGCAAGGTTTGGGGAGGGGGCAGAACAAGGGCCCTCCTGGAACAAGACACACCTGTAGACCAGGTGGGGACAGTGGGGTCCAAGGGAAGCATGAGCAGGGACCAGGGCGTGAGCTCAGTGCTGGCGCTGGGTCACCGTCCCAGGTGCCAGTGTGAAAAAGGGTTTGAAGACTTTGCGGGGCGGGGGCGGTGCTGGAAGGACACACTGGATCCTGACGGGAGCAGGAGAGGAAGTGTGTGCGCCAAGGGAACCTTCAAGGGCACGAGGTCCCTGCAGGCAGGTGAAGGCCACATGGATCTGCAGGGTGCCTGATGCAGGCGCAGTGCCACGTCCTCCCATCAGCCTGGAGCCGTGGGCCAGGCCAGGAAGGGTCCCTCGGCCCTGCAGATCCTCCCTCGTATACCGACCGAGGTTTGCGGCTGGCAGCATCTCAATGACTTAAAACCAAACCAAAGCAGCAGCGCTGGATTTTTGCAGTGAGAGGGAGGGATGCTGTGTCCACAGGCCAAGCCGATCACAGGCGCTGCGTGTGCAGCCTCCTTCAGACGGCTCAGGCACAGCCTGTCAGCATTTCCACTACAAACTCCTGTCCTTCACGGGGGTTTGTAAAACTCACTCCAGGCCCCAAACCGTGTGATCTAAGTCCAGGCTTAGCCCTGAAACGCTGCCTCCAATCAGGCTCAGCTGCCTCACTCTGCTTTAAGGCTTTATTCGTTTGCCCCATCAGCAGTGCTGCTCGGAGAGCAAGCCGGTGCCCAACCCCCTCCCTCGCAGCCTTCGGGGGCCCTCTGACCCCCGAGGGCCGGCCTCCTCCACCCCGTGTTGTGCGCCCACCTGCAGGGCCAACGGAAGAGCAGAAGCAGGAAGCGCCAGGCGTGATGCCTTTGCTTATGGGCACCAGAACCCGGTCTAGACCTGCTTGCATGTGGCAGATTTCTGTATAGAAATAAGGGCACCGAAGACGCCCCTGGGCTCAGATGATCCCATTCGTCCCCAAAGCGGCAGCCCTGGAGTCCCTCACTCAGTCCCCGGGGACCCTGCTGCATCAGTATCAGAAACCACAATTTGAGAATCAGGAAACCCAAGCACGGACTGGCAGTGTGCACACGTCCAGACCTGGGCAGGCAGGTCACCAGACCACTGGTTCTGTCCAGAGGGCTCTAGACTGAACGGAACCTTTAAAACAGGAGTAAGACTGGAAAGCCAGGCACAGGGGAAGACGTCAGGGATAAGAGCAATCGGTGGGATGCGCCCAGCGGTTTTCAAGGAAAACAACAGGGAACAGGCGCGCATGCTGACCGCTCCGCCCTGACCCGGGGGGAGGACTGTGGTCCCCACACGTCCGCACAGGAGCAGCGGGCCGTGACCGCGCCCTGGGGAGCGATGTGTGCCCTCCCTTCCCGGTACTCAGGGGTTGGAGGACAGGGCTCAGACGTAGGGACAGCACATGTCTCTGAGGCCCGCCGCTCGTTCTGGTCAGATCCAGCTGCGCTTCAGTGGGCGCTGCCACCCGGGAGCCTTTCAAGATGCAGATCTGGCTCAGCAGGCCTGGGGTGGTGCCCATATCTCTGCATTTCCACAGGCCCCCAGAGACCCTGCCGCTCTCAGGAGAGCCGGCTTCAGAGTGGAAGTCCCCGCCCCGTGAAGCGTCCACGTGACCCTGGACGGCGGCTCTGCTGGCGCTTCCTTTAGTCCACTTCTCCCACCGGGGACTGAGGACAGCACAGGTCGTCACGCTGGCAGGCGGCTGTTATTCCTCAGAGCTTCACAAACTCAGCAGCTGGCGAGGAACGGTCTCCGCCTGCCTGAAGCTTCCGTGAGGAGACGCTGCAGGAGCCCCCCCTTCGCTGACAGGGGCAGGCAGGCGGCTGATGGGCATTTTGATCAGTGCTTCTTGGGTGTAAAACGCTCTGCTTTTCACCAACTAAACCGTCTGTGGGGTGGTGAGAATGGAACCCCAGCTCCCCTCCCCCCTCCCAAAGGCTGCATCTGGGGCACAGCGGGAGCCCCCGGCACCAAGGCTCTCGACAGCTGGCCGGGCTGGTAGAGCGCAGGTGGCCCGCTGATGATCACCGGCCAAGCACAGGGGACCAAGAGCCGCTGTCCCCCCAAAGGCTCGTGTGGCCCTTACACCAAGTGAGCAGGTCCCAGGCAGCAGGACCACGGCTCACGCCTCTCTTCTCCGTCTCGCCGGACACACCACGGCTCCCCTCACGCACGGCATGGGGGTGCTTATCCAGCCCTGCGGCATCTTCAGGGTAAAAACAACATATCCAGTGAGGTATACCTGTGCCTTTGGCAGTTGGAGGGGTTGGGTTCATTTTGGAGATTCAAATGTGTCTTTAAAAGTCAGACCTTTTTTTGGCACAAAATTAGGTCACGCGAATTCTCACAGTGGGATGCCAGCTACAGTTACCGAGGTTCGGGCGGGGAGGTTCTGTTCCCTTCCTTTTGTTACGAGTGTGTGCCGGTGACCTCGCGGGCCTGCTAGCAGCCCCAGCCTGTGTTTAGCGGGATGGTGAACGCGAGATGTCTGTTAACACCAGGTGCAAGGCTGTCCCCACCCACTGGAGGGTGTGTCCTACACCTGCTGTGGGACAGGCCCCCACACAGGAGGAGGTTCCCATCCTTCGAGTTAACATTTCACACAGTGCGCAGCAAGGCCGGGGGCCCTGAGGGTGTGGCGGAATCACAGGACGACCGCCCCTGGCTGCCGCCCCACCACCAGTGCGGCCAGCTGCCTCCCTGCCAAGCCCCCGCCGCCCCCCCCGTTCCCACTCAAGCCTGTTCTGTCCCCAGGTGCCTGAGGCGACGAACGAGCCTGCAGTTCTGCTGCCGAAGTGCACAGGCGAACTGAGGCCGCCCTCCGGTACCTGAGGTTAAACGAGAAACATCCATCCACCAAGGCCAACGCGGGCCAACACCGGAGCTGCACACAACTGCCTCGTCTTGCGGGAAAAGACTGATTAGAGGCAAGGATTTGGGGAGAGACGATGTCTAAAAACGGAAGCAGGGAGGGGCAGATGGCATTCACTTCAGCCCCCATCACCCGGGGCTGGACAAAGCCCACCTCTGCCGGCCGCCAGGTGCTCCCCATGAGGGGGGGACTGCCGTCCGCCAGCCCGCGGCCCAGCTGTCTTGCCAACGCGGCCCTGTTGCGAGGCGCCCCCTCCTCCTGGGCTCACGCCGCCTGCGGGAGGGCGGCCGCGCTCTTCACCCTGAGCCCCTCCGCAGGGTGCGTCTGAAAGCCGAGGGCCCTGGACTGGAAGTTCCAAGGTTCCTGAAGGACCTGTGGTAATTCCCCCTGAAGGTGAACTTAAAGGAAAAAAGGCTGTTTTCCAGCAAAAGAGGGGGACACAGGGCACCACCTCCTGTGCACACTCTAGGGAACCGAGGGGGGTGAGGTCCCCAGGGGCGCGTGGCTGGGGGCTGCCTGGGCGCTTGCAGGGCACTTCTGACCAAGGTGACCAGTCCCACAGGGCCCTTTTGCCTTCAGGAGGCCACGGAAGTCCTTACTGAGGAAGGAGGGGCCTGCTGACACCGGGGAGGGGACAGGAGGCGGGAGCCCTGGGTGTCCAAGGAGGAACAGCAGGCAGAGGGGCTGGAGAGACACGTGGTTGGGAACGGGGGCCGGGGGTCAGCGGGGCCAGGGCCCGGCTCTCCTCTGTGTGGGTGGAGGGCTTGGAGGACTCCAGCGGGAGGACCCCCTGACTTCTGTCCATTTTCCAAACATGTCATTGGAAAAGTCTCACAATTTAATGAAGAAAGCAACAGAAATACTGATGCAGCACCATCCCAAATTTGTTCACAATATATGTAAATTTACACACAGAAAAGAATAAAGCAAACAACAGCACGCTCACGTTTCTATTCATTCTCCTCGTACACGTGTATTTTACTCACATTTACTGGTAGGATTATAGGTGACTTTGACTTTCTTCTTCACACTTTTCTGAATTTCCCTGTATTGAACAACAGCCAGGTGTATCAGGAAGTCATTAAAAATAAAACGAGCAGATGAGGCTGGGACAGCATCCGATGTATGGTGAGACTTCCGGGGCCACGGCAGCACCATGTTTTTTTCCACTCCGTACAAAGCCTGAGGCGCCGTAAAAGACCTTGCTGCTCCCCAGGTTAGACGCAGTGGCTTTGGGAGCCGAGGTTTCACGGCGGATCTGGCAAGGGTTTCCTCCCCGTCGGTGGCTTGGTTAGGAGCCCGGCTGGGGGGTCTCTACGGGGAGCACAGGGCTCATCCCTGGCACCACACTCCCACGGGGGCCACAAGGGTGTCTGAGAGCTCAGAGGTGGACAAGAACCTACCAGCCAAAGCGGGAGGAAGGCTGAGAGAGGTGGGCCCAGGCAGGGCCGGCAACCCCGTCCACCCCCACCCCCACCGCCACCACCCCCCCCC